GATGAGCAGCGCTTCGCGGAACGCACGGCCAGACAGAGAAGTGATGCACAGGAGTCTGTTTTCTCATTCGGCAGGTTGAGGTTGTCAGCTTAGAGACAGAGCGGCGCAACCATTATTCGGAACATGTACACGGATTAATGGGTTCGGTACTGAACCCCCGTCGCCACGCCCCTTCCCAGACGGCGTCAGATGGGGCTGCCAGGGGGTGGCGATGAGTGTCGTCCAGCGCCATCCCACGACATGCGCGCGGACCTCCACAAGCCTATGTTTGTGCAGTTTTCCCCAAGAGGTCCTTGCACGTTGGTGCTTTATGCGTCTGTGCTGGCATAGGGCGCTCCCACAGACAACGCACACAATGGGCCAAGCCCGCGACGGGCACGGACTGAAACGAAAAGCGCGCCGCGTGGAGAACGCATGCAGCTCGAAGAAGCAGCAGCGCCTCACCGCGGCGCGCGCCGTACGCCCGCGAGGTGATGTGACAGAGTCTGCCAAAACGCCCACCTTGCCCGCGCCTTCTGCAGTCATTGGGCGTGCTTCCTGGGCTTACGACCCGTCGCCGCCCGTGGACACCCCGCGTGCGCCCCGTGCGACGGCGCGGTTTCTCGAGGTCCTCTTCCGGTCGCCGCCCGTTGCTGGCGGCTCGCGGGCGCTTCGGACGGTGCTCCAGAGGCGTCTGCCCCGTGGGCGCCCGTGCAGTCGGGGGCCCGAAGAGTATACACCACCACCACGTCGATGCCTCCTCCTCCTCCTCCGCCTCCTCCTCCTCCTCTTCCTCCTCCTCCTCGTCCTCCTCCTCCTCCTCTGCCTCCTCCTCCTCCTCCTCCTCCTCCTCCTCCTCCTCCTCCCCCTCCTCCTCCTCCTCCTCCTCCTGCTCCTCCTCCTCCTCCTCCTCAAGCAACTTGGGCCCGAGCATTTTGCGGCTCCCAAGTCCTCTGCACCTCCACGTGGTGCTTGAGGGACTTGGCCCTGGTGTCCGCCACACCACTGGGGCCACGACCAAGACAGAGGTTTGTACCAACCAGTACGCTTGTCAGCAGCATGGCGGCGTCGACGCCTCCATGGACGAGGTGCGACAAATGCAAGCGCTGTGAGTGGAACTCGATTCTCAGCATGAACCAGCGGAAGTGCCCAGGCTGCCAGACCGTTCTCACGCTCTACAAGAAGCCGGTCAGAGGCACTGTCAGGTTCGACCTTGACACGGAGTCCGACGACATCGAGGACTTCTACGAGTGTGAGGAGGTGCCCAGCGGCGACTGGGGAGGAGGCGGCGGCAGCAGGTCGACTCGGCGCAGCCGCAGCCCATCCCCGTCAGGTGCCAAACGCAGTGGCAAGGGCGGCGGCTTTGAGGTCTCGCAGCACCTGCGCAAGGCCCTGGCAGCGACCAGCGACAAGGAGCTGCAGAGCGCCCTCAAGGCGCAGATCACACGGATCCAGAGCGACCCGCCGCCGCCCGCAGCCAACCCCGTCGATGCCATGAAGAGAGCGGACGGGGCATTCAAGAATGCGGACCACCTGCACGAGCAAGCCGTGGCCTCCGTCCTCCGCCTCCGCGCCAGCTTGAAGGCAGCGGAGGCCAAGGAAGAGGCGGCCGCCTTGCGCCTGGCCGAGGCCAAGGAGGCCAAGACGGCAGCAGCACGGGCGGTGGCCATGGCAGAGGGCGTCCAGGACGTCAACACGAATATGCAGAGCCAGAGCCTGCAGAAGGGCCCCATGTTCAAGCTTCAGTGGGACGAGACCTTCTTCGCGGGCCTGGACAAGATGGATTGCACGGAGCCTGAGCGAGCCGCACTGCAGACACTCCAGCAGGACCTTCTCAATACACGTGGCTTATTGGAAGGCAAAGAGAAGGAGATCACACAGTGGCTCGAGCAGGCCAAGAAGTACCAGCAGGACATCACGGACAGGATGTCCAAGAAGCGCAAAGGCAAGGCAGGTGAAGCGGCCCCCCCATCGGAGGCCCAGCCTGCGGAGACGCCAGCGGCGGAGAGCTCGAAGGACTTGCCGAAGCCCCAGGCCGACGGCGAGGACGCCAAGCGCTCTGAGATGCTCAAGGCGGAAGCGAAGAAGCTGTCCGACGCGCGCTACCAGGCGATGATCGAGACGGCCAAGGCGAAGGGCAAGGGCTCCGACAGCACGGCCGCCCCCAGGCACGGCGACCCAGCGGTCGCCGCCACTGGCGAGGGCACAACGCCTAACCAGGAGGCAGGGGCAGCTGCTGCCGCGGCCACGGCTCGACAAATACAGGAGGGTTCACCTCGGACCCTAGACGCAACCGAGGGTCAGGAGTTCACGCACATGTTTGTAGCGAACGTGACGGAGCTCTCTGACAAAGTATGGAAGTACCTGGTCAAGAATTCGGCTACATACCACTACTTCGGCTTCCTGGAGACCCATGTTCACTCCTCGGCCGAATTGCATGAATGGGATAAAAAGGCTCGACTGCAGAAGCTCAGATTGTACCGCAATCCAGCACGTGAGTCAGGCAAGACTGTTTCAGCCGACAAGCAGGATAGATCGAACGAAGGTGGAGAAATGTTCCTAGCACGGAAGCATCTTCAAGCACACCTTCTACCAGAGGCTCGGGCAGCAGCTGCTCAGTTATCCGACGTTGGGACGTCGGCGCTGGACGGCTTCCTGCCAATGGTGATCCACCAGACGGGCTACAGCCTCCTGGTCGTCCTGCTCTACGGCTACTCCTCGATTCAGATGACGGGCCACAACAAGCGTCGGTATGGACGACTTGGCGGATTGCTCAAGTCGGTGCGCATCCCGTGGCTCGTCATTGGCGATTTCAACATGGACCCCACCGTGCTGCAGGCCTCCAGCTTCATGCAGCAGGTAGACGGGATCATCCGTGTGGCGCAAGGAGGTGTCGGCACGTGCGCGAGGAAAAATACACCAGATTCGCTCTTGGATTATATGGTATGCTCGCAATCTGCCCTTCCCTTCGTCAAGGATCTGACCGTCGTTCGTGATGTGAGTTGGAAGCCACATGTAGGCCTGAATCTCACTCTTAGAAGCTCGGGCCTCCAGTTGGTCACCAGGGTCCTCGAGATGCCCCTTAGGCTGCCCCAGGTGTCTAGGCCCCAGACGGCGCCCACTCTTGGCTCCAAGAGCTCCCGTGCGAAGTCTCTGAGGCAGACGGCCCAAGTTGAGGCTGCTGCCAAGCGCGCTGGGATTATAAATTCTCTTTTTGGGGACTGTGTCCAGTCTGAGTCCCACGACGAAGTAGGGAGAGTTGAGGGCCCTACAGGGATGGACCCTACGACTCAAGATTTTGAACCAGAGCTCGATCTCGATGTCTGGCCCGATGAGCCCGACCCCTGGGAAAACGAGCTCAATTTTTGCCCCGACGTGACGATCAGCCAGCATATCGTCACGCCTGCTCTTGCTGCCCATCCCTCGACCTCCCTCCCCGCGCCCAGGACTCCGAATCAGCCAGCATGTGACAGTCATCGGGAGACTGGTGCCAATCTGGCATCGACGCGTCTGCGCGCGGTCTCAGCCCCCCCCCCAATTCGAGCCAGCCCCCCCCTGACGGTTTAAACGGCCATGCCATGGAAGACACCCGAGGAGCCGAGCCCGAGCAGACTGGCCCTGGCGCGACCACCCCCGAACCGTCGTTCAAGATACCGCAGGACTTGTGGTGTCAGATTCGGGAAGATGTTGGGTTTGCGTCAGGAGCCACTTGTTTAGAATATGTCTCCCCTCCTTTGCTGCACTCCGTAGCGTTTCGGCTCGAACCAAAACGCTCCGCCACAATATCAGGTCTATATGCTGCGTGGGCGACCACGGCAGAGCGCACCATCCTAGCGCATCACGATCAAGCCATGGCTGGCACGCCGCATGCGAACGGTCCACAGTTTCGAGTACGCTCGGTCCACGAGGCGTCACGCCGTCGGCAGCTCCATCTGCGAGATGGCCGTGCTCAAAGGTGGACGAGAGTGCGCACTGTTGTGGCTGGAGTCTTGCGGCGCACGCTGCGTGACAACGGACGCGTACAGCTGGACGGATACCGCGCTGCCTGCCAGAAGCTCCTGGGCGATGTGCCTGTCGACGCCCATGGTTTGCTAAGGCTCGACAAGGGCCCGCCGTGGGAGAAGTGGGCCGAGTTTCTGCGCAGTGGGGGCCAGGCTGCTCTACCTGTACTGGAATCGTGGGAACGGTGTGCCAAGCGCGTGGCAGCCCGAGTCCAGCGGGTAGAAGTCCAGTCATCGCTGCACGACTTCCGCCAGTGGGTGACGGAACCGAAGGCGTGCGGGATCCCCCATCAGTCCCTGAAGCCCAAGGTCCTACCAGCGGTGGAGTTGGCCATGGACGGACGCACCATCTACCACCCCAAAGATATCATGGGCGAGAAGATGAAGCATTGTAAGAAGCTATGGGCACCCACTGCCGTCAGCCTCAGCGACGCCAGGGAGCTGTTCAGGCAGATCCGAGCTGAGGCCACCGACGCCCCGCTTGAGCCCATCGGCCCCGCCAGCATCGTCAAGGCGTGCCGCAGGATGAAGGCGAACGCAGGCACTGGCGTGGACGGCTTCACGCCCGTCGACTACGAGCGCCTCCCAGCAGCAGGTTTGGCCGAGATGGCCCTGCTGCTGGAGGCAGTGGAGGCCACCCTCACGTGGCCCGTGCAGGTGCTTCTGATCCTCGCACGGCTCACTCCCAAGAAGAGTTCGGGAGACCGAGCGATAGGCTTGATCTCGATGCTGGGCCGAGTGTGGTCAATGATTCGTGAAGATGAAATTCAGGTTTGGAGTTGAGAACAATCAGCACATTGGGACGCTGTTATTCGTGGCAATTCATGCCTCCAAGAGGCTTTCTTACGTTCGATAAGTGAAGAGGTCGCTCATAATTTCAAAATGCAGCACTGGCACGCTATGCTTGACATAGAAGCCTTCTACGATTCAAAACCATGGCAGCCTCTAGTAGCAGCAGCCCTTCGTCTCAAATTTCCCCCTGTTGTGCTTTACCTCGAGTTGGTGCAATGTGTAGCACCC